GCATGGATGCAGTTTCCACTACCCAAGAATCCAAGTGGACATATCTGATTAGTGTGACAAATCTTTTTTCTATTTCACCCAAAGTAAGGGCAAGGATAGAACATAGTAGGGCAGCCTCTAGAGCCCTTTACATCTCTATCATGTGGCATATGGGGGGTCACATGTTCTTCTCAAAAATCGCCGTAAACAGATCGGGTCAAATCTCTCCTTTTTTTTTCTTTGATATCGGGTCAAATCTCTTCAAAAAGCACCTCTTAACTCATCCTGATATAAATATAGGAACCAAAAACCATCAATTCCTCACATGATTCTCTAGCCCTATGCCAATATGAACATCTGATTAGGTACCTCATTCTCCAAATAAAAACTGTGCCTTTTGTCCTAATCAATGTTGTGATCAGCCTTTACAGAGAAAGGAAAGCAATCTTAGCCTTTTGGAACAAATGGCATGTGGAGATTAACTAGGAGCAAAGCATGCATCACACACTACATGCAATCCTAGTAAGCAGCAGTAGTAGCCCAAGAACCAAAAATCTCAAAAGTATCTGATTAGTTTGACCAAATCACCCCAAGTTGCATCCTAAATTTTGGGCAGGAAAGGTGAGGCCAGAAGGTGTGGGTCCCACCTGGTAGAGGGGGTGCTGCTCTAGCCCTCTTCAGATCTCTCTAATAATAATTCTTGAAAGGAGAGATGCATTGCTTTGGCTGGACAGGAGGAGCCCATCCATGTGTATCCATGTGTCTGCATGGCCAAAGGCACCTGAATAGCAACATGTGGTTCCAGGGGGACAGCCTCACCAAGCAAAGGACACCAGTCCTTGCCCAGCAACCTATTGACTACCAGTGACATAGTGTGTAGCTATCGCTGCATTGCCTTGTGTGCCATTCAGAAATTATGGGGCCATCCCCTCATATGTTGGCAGTTGGATTTGATGCTAATATGAAGAAATCGACAATTCATCGATGGTTCTCTCTCTACCATGTTACTAGCTAGAGCTTTGGAGCCAATTACAACACTTAAGTATTTAATGATGATGATTTGGCATGAGTATGCATGTTAACTTGCTTTGGTAAAATAATGGACCTAGAAATCAAATCATATCTTGTTGAAAGGCAAAGGAACACACTACTAACCCTTGCAATTTTTCATGCTCCTAGGCTCATCAGAAAGTAGGCAAACCACAAGGTATTTAATTACTGAATCTTTCATATTGTTTCTTCTTTTCTGTATTGATATGCCGTCCAAATTTCAGCTAAATTACAAATATGTATTGCTCAGTGTGATATATATGATGTCCAGCTTACTATTTCTTAACATTCGTATGATTACCACTAAAGCATATAAAGTTGGCAGATGACCTTTTGTGCAGTTTCTGAACATATCTTGGTGGTTTCTAATACATTCTTGTTGATGTATGATTCAAGCTGCATGGTCTTGCAGGCTCTACAGGAATTCCACAATGTTCTAGAAATGCAAAATGAATACATCACTATTTATTGAAGAAGTTGTTTTAGTCCCTCAGTTTAATATTATAAGACCATATTTTTTAAGTCAAATTTTCATAAGTTCGACCAAACTTATAGAAAAATATAGTTACTCTTACAATACTAAATTAGTTTTATTAAATCTAACTATGTTCGTTTGGTGTCAAAAAAATTGCTACGATTTTTCTTAAAGAAGTTTTAACTTAAAAAAAGTTAAAACATCTTATAATATGAAACGGATTATTTTGGAAGAAGGAGGACACATCATTTGACTGTAGTCAGAAATGTGGGATACTGTTTAACAACATGTAGCAACATATTCCTATCAATTGACAGACAGATCACACTATCCCTTGCCATAATTCTATTCTAGTATTTTACTTGCCATAATTCTATTCTAGTATTTCATTTTATTTTGTAAAATTTGTTTCTAAAAGAATAAAACAACTGTGTTTAAATTGAGCATTATATTGTGCCTTGTTTGACACTATGCCTTAACAGGGGCTAAAAATTTCGTCTGCCATAGGTATGTGCGGGCCAATAATTAAGCACATTATTTATTTTAATAACAAAATAAATGAGCCAAATATAAATGTAGTGTTGGCCGCAACACGTTGACTGTGTCAAGAAAGGATTTAGTCCGATCAACTGCAACTAGAACACAGTTGAACAGTGCACATAGTTGTCACTTGAGCTGCTACTACTGTGCATTAGAAGCTAGCTAGAGTGCACATCTTGTGTAGGTACGTTCTGGTCTGAACCTAGTTTAGCTGCACTCTCTGGCAATAGCTAGAGTTTTTCCCTGTACAGTTTTCATCAAATCAGTTACAAATTTATCCAAAATACTTGACGATCGAAAATTCTCGAGCTCGTAGCACCTAGGGCAGATTAAATATATGAAATAGATTAGCTCATATTGTGTTCCGTAAATTTAAAATGTATGTTGTGTTGGTTGTGCGTATCCTTATAGTACTATTTTACGCTCTTCGGTTATCATAATAAAAAGTAAAAATAAGCTGATAAATAAGGTTAGATAGATAAATTGATTGCATGATATGTAACTTTGAAAATGAAATTAGTAATCCCCATGTGGATGCCATGTGACTGGCTATTTTTTCAGTTTTGGCGCAAAGAGAGGAGAATGGTGTGTGGAAGAGAAAGCTAGTGGGCATGGATGCATGCATACAAGCATTGCCCCCACAGCTACAGAATATCATGCTTCCATGTTACTGCCTCACTGCCACTGCACTCAAATGCTCTCTATCTCTCTCTCTCTCTCTGGCCACCAAGTACCATGCAAAGTCAAGGAAACCCCTCTTGCTAATGGGGATACACATGACACATGCATGCAAAGCTGCCTGCCTGTGCAAGAATCATGCAGGGCATGCAGCATGCTCCTCCATCCAGTCCTCCTCCTGGCTTATTTCTCAACACTATATGCTGTGTGTGTGTGGCCTTATTGTACCATCTAATTGCCACATGTAGTCATGCTTGAAACATTGATTAGGCATGTGCATTGCTTAGACACATGGACAAAGTTTTGACTAATCAATGGTGTTACCTGATTATCTGAAGCTTTGTTTAGCCTGATGTGATGGTTTCTACTATAGACATTGAAGTGCAGAATAGATTCAGTTATATCTTATGGAAAAAGTCTCTCTCATGATACATGTTTGCTGAATGCATGGAACTGAATTGTTTATGTAAGAAAAAGAAGAGTTGTTGGATCAACCATAATGTCGTACTATTTTCATGCTTCAAATTCAAAAGTAGGGATTTCAAAGAACAAAGGCCATGGATATATGAGGGAATAAAAAACTAATGACCAGACAACTGATATTTTTAAAGAACAGACTTTCTGAACTCAGAATGTCAGACTCCACACCACACTACAATTGGAACACATGATTCTCAAGTGACCTTTTCTTATGAATGTTTAGAGTAAGTTCAGCCATTTATCACAATAGTAGGAGGTAACAGATAACAATAATATCTGTAGGTAAAATACACAATCTTGTTTTGGGTGGAAGAATAATCAACTTTCCATCAGTTGCAGGATAAACTCATTGACAATATCAAACATAAAAAGAATCCATTGGCCTTACCTTTTTTCAAGACTTGATGTTGTAATCAAGCCAGAAAATAAGCAATCAAGGACCTGATTAAGGAGTCCTCTTTGGAAAATGGAAATGTCAGCTTTTTCTCCTGTAACAATATTTGGCATTAATGAGGACTATTTAGGTGTTATTAGGGTCCAAGTGGGGGCTAGTCCACCATGTGCTAGCATGTGCATGGTCTGCCTTCCATCCCATTCTCTCTTCCCAACCTCTTATAACATGTCCCCAAAAAAGTGCATTCTTTTTTCCCAACCTTTCTTTTTTTTTTCCCAATCATCTTGCATACTTCAGAACTTTCCATTTCTTACCCCCTAAGCTTATTTAAAAATAAATAGATAATCTATATAAAACCCATCAGTTGGAAGTTATATAACTACTTTCACAGTGAAAAAGGCATTTGAAACTGGGTCCCTCTTTGTGTAATAGATATTTCTCCTCTTCCCTTTCTGCAGTACACCCATTTTTACCCACATTTGAATTAAAAATAACAATCATCATTGACGCTCAAAATCGAGTCAACATATATTACTTGTCCAAAACAAGGGAACACTACTGCATAACATTAAATATTTTCAAAAGTCTCTCATACTTTTCTCAGAAAGAAAACAAACATATATATACAACACAAATTAACCTCATGGTGGACCAAAGCACCATTAATTAACTCATACTACTTCACATCAATTAAATAAGCTGTGTATACTTGTAACCACATAGAGCAAGTTTAATAGTATAGCCCACTACTAGCTCCAAATCATCTATAGCCAATGTACTTATTCCATCCGTTTCGAAATATTTGACACCGTTGACTTTTTAGCACATGTTTGACCGTTCGTCTTATTCAAAAACTTTTGTGAGACATGTAAAATTATATGCCTACATAAAAATATATTTAACAATGAATCAAATGATAGAAAAAGAATTAATAATTACTTAAATTTTTTGAATAAGACGAACGGTCAAACATGTGATAAAAAGTCAACAGCGTCAAACATTTTGAAATGGAGGGAGTACTATACTATTAATACATGGTCCTACCTGTCATACACACATTACGTCTTGGAGTCCGTGCTGCAGCTGGCTACAGATCTGTACCCGCTGCTTTTCTCTCTTCCTTTATCTCTTTAAAATATGTTTATAGCTGGCTTAAAACCCATGAACAACTCCCCAAACTTTATTATCCTTATCCAAAACAAAGTGATATACTATATTCCATATGAATATTTAGGAAACACCAAAACATACTCTCTCCTTTTTTACTAGAGACTAAACAAGCATAAAAAATTCCAATTTTTTTTTGTCATCAACAGGGCCCCACTCCCCCAGAAAAAAAAAACCCAAATGGATGGTTGAAACAGAGACAATAGTCCCTGCACACACAGCAATGAATAGCAGCTGTGTAAGATGGCCACATGCAAAACCCAATGCCACATGCATCTTTCTTCCCTTGCTTCTTCTTCTCCTTCTCCTTCTTCTTCTTTATATATCTACTTAAACCCATCATCCATCTCCTCCTACAACTACACAAACCCATCACCTTTCTCCTCCTCTTCTTCTCCTTCTCCTTCCAAAAAACCCAAGAAAGTGAGGTGTAAGTGAGATTAATTGGTTGTGAGAAGCAGCAATGCATGCTCCAAGAAAGTTCAAGAAGGCGTTCATGGAGCGGCTGCTGCTGAGCCTGCAGGTGGCCGGGCTGACGTCCAAGTCCATGGGCCTCCGGGAGCGCCGCGATGCCGTCAGGCTGTCCTCCGACGTCGCCATGGCGTCGGCGCGCGGCCGCGCGGCGCCCTGGGCGCGCGCCCTCGTGGCGCGCCACGCCGCCGAGCGCCGCAACGAGCCGCTCCTACGCCGCATCATGGGCGGCGACGTCTACGAGCGCGCGGTCTCCTCCGCCGGCGCCGCCGTGGCGAGGAGCAGGAGGATCGTGAGGAGGTCGCAGAGGGTGGCGTGCAGCTCGAGGAGGAAGCGGCGGAGCCTGGCAATGGCCGCGGCGAGCGGCGGCGGCGGCGCATTGGCGGCGAGGAGGATGGTGAAGGGCCGGCTCCGGCTGCTCCGGCGGCTCGTCCCCGGCGGCGAGGCGCTGCGCGGCTTCTCGCTGCTAAGCGAGACGCTCGACTACGTCGTGTGCCTCAAGACGCAGGTCGAGCTCATGCACAGCCTCTGCAAAGGATCCCAGCAGAAGCTGCATCTGCAGCTGGGATGAAAAATCAAATGCTGATATATGATCCTGGTATGTATGTAAAAATGTTTTCCTTTAAGAGAATAGATTAAAACTCGGTCTCTATATTCAACACGGATGTACACGCCAAAGTTTGTAGATGTTTGTGCTGTAACTTTTTTTTTTCTTGTTTCACTTTGGTATTGGTAGTTGATAACTTCATTCTTCTGTGGAACATGCATGATCTAGTTAGGATTATTATGGTTTGAGAGTTTTTTTGTCTTGTGAAATTCAGTGTTAAAAACTGAGAGTGGTACTACTCAGTAATGATGGTACTACTTTCTCAGTGACTGAGACATTAGTACATCACTCTCTTTTGCACCAATGTTAATGATCTGGCTTATGCATATGGTACGTCTCATGAGTCATTGTTCAATTACTTCACTCCAGACTGTTAGAGATCTCCTTTTTGTTTCCCTTCCGGTACATGATTAATTTTTTTTCGTAATTCAAGATTTCATTAATTTCATTTTTGTGTTCTTTTTAATTTTTCTTGGATTTTTGTTTAACAATTAAAATTGCGTCCTGATTTGAGTTCATTGAAAATTTCGTCACATTTGAAATATGGATAGTTTTTTATGAGGATTGAATATGGTTTCTCTTTTACCATTCCTTCATTTTTGGTGCTAGCTATTTCTTTTCAGTTCAGTTCAAGCTGAGGTCCTTGCTTCTTAGTATGCAATACTGTTCCCTGAAAAAATAGAACTTTTTATCCCACAAGGCCACAACACCTTCATTTTCTCATTGCTTCCTCGGCAATTTGTCTTTCTGAACTTTCCTTAATTTTTTTCCAGAGATTGTTCTCCCTTTCTTACTTTGCATTTGGCAAAAAAAATTGTCTCTCAACAGATAATTCAGCTACATATCCTTCTGGCAGTTAACATTCTCTGTTCTTGACACTTGACAGGCACAGCAGCTGCCAGACTGCATACCTGCATGAGATGTGTGAGAGGAGTTAATGGAAACCTCTAATTAACACACTTATGCACAGAAATCAAGAGGCCACTGGATGAATGGGAGATAGGCAGAGAACAGAGCTCAAAAGGCTCAAGGAGCCAGCTTACTATAGTTAGTTAGTACCACTAGTAGTACCACTGTAACTACTGTGCAAGTACATGTCAGTGCAAAGATGGATCTTGGTTTTAGGTGTATCTCCTCCTAGTGGCTAGGATGAAGAAAGCCATAATCCATTTGATGAAAAAGAAGTTTTGATGTCGATTAACTACCTAGTGTTTGTTCTTAATTGGGGAGGGAGATCAGATCAAGCCATATGCATGTATGTTTAGTCTCCAAATCTCAATGAAATGGAAATCTTCTGATGGTTCAGTTTCAGTGGGTCTGGCATGTGCAGAAAATTACAGGCTTGTATTTTTCTGGCCAAACTGGCCGTGATGAATAAAAACATGTCCGTATGTAAGGGAACTTTGGGACAAAACAATGACTTTCTTCTTCATAAAAATTGACCATCAATGTATATCTGTTTTTAAAAATGAAAACAAAATTTTCCTATAAACGGCCTGTTTTCGTGTTACCATGCAATTTTTTCCCATTAAAAATGAGCTATTTAAGGTGCTACATCTGTACCTTTGTCCTTGTTCCCTTTGTTTTATGAGAACAACTTTACATGAAAACTGAGACATGTGAGATTCTTGCTAAGCACAGAAAGAGGAGGCATCCTCCACAAGCCCATTATCATACTACTTATTTTCAGGTTCAGGTCAAAATTATGAAGAATAAAACTGTCAACATAATCCTGTACCAAACTCTTATCAGTAAGAAAGACCAAAAAAAAAAAGAGTGAGGAAAATAATCAGTATCAGCACTATAAATTTGGTGTACCAAATAACCAAAAGATTGGCCCCTCTCTAGTCTTTACATCTGCATCAATTGTTGTAGCTTACTAGCTACTGTTGCTGCGAGAGACGACCTAGGATTCCCCTGCACTATTGCAAGCTGCAATTGTACCGAGTTTGCTGTGGCAATGATTCAATCTGACGAATATTCACTTGCAAATCCCCAACTTGAGTAGTTCGTTCCCTAGCACTCCCAACCTTCTTTGCAGTGGGGATGCATAGTCTTGTAGTAGCTACAATAATGCCAGTACATACATGGTGTGGTACAACTTGTAGATGCTTTTTACTAGTGTAAAAGTTGGAGCTTTTATGGTTTTACAAATCTACTCCCTTTGTCTTTTTATTTTTCATTCGTCTAGATTCGTAGTCAGATGCTTATTCTTTTTGGAACAGAGTGTTATTTTACTGAATCATCTGCAGGAAATATCTACAAGGTTGATATTCTGTTTCCTGTTAATCAGGGAATGGAGAAAATATTAAAACAATTGCATCCTAGAAATAAGGGCAGCAGTATCTCTCTCACCTATGGAGTCTTCAGAGAAGCATGAGCAGTGAGCAAGCAAATGTCTGCAGTTATAATTTGGCACAACTTCTTTTTCGGGAATACGCAAGGAGCACATTTTTTCCATTAAGAGAAATAAAAGTTATTTACAAGGATAAAAGGAAAACAAGCAGGGGACCGATACAGGACGCTATGGAAAACTATAGGAATATCTCGCGCTAAATTTGGCTACCGCGACCTCGTAAAGGCCAAACAGCGGGGATCCCGTGATTAGCCGACTTCCAAAGCATGGCCTCCTCCGCCATTGCTTTCGCCACTTCGGTCCAAGACCTTTGTTGTTGATTTAAGATTCGGTTGTTCCGTTTCTTTCAAATTGTCCAAGCCACCAGTGTCACGACAGTGTCGAAGCCTCGACGATGCCGCTCCCCAATCTTCATTCGGCTCTCACAGAGCCAATTGTGGAAGGATGGCTCGTTGACAGGTAAGCAGTTCGGACTCCTTATCACCTAAAGCGTCCACCACCATAATTGTCTCGATTCAGGGCATGCTGCCAAGATGTGATCAATGCTTTCCTCCTGCTGATCGCAAAGAACACAGCGATCCGGGTGTGGCAACCCTCGACTGCGCAGACGGTCAGCGGTCCAGCATCTGTTCATTGCGACCAACCACAAAAAGAAGCAGCATCGAGGCGGAGCGAGTGACTTCCAAATTGGGGTGGAAAGGAAGGTGAGACGACCAAAAAAACAAGGCCTTATAGGCAGATTTTGAGCTGTATTGGCCCGAACTCTCCCATTTCCAGATGATTGAATCAGGAGTAGTAGGATCAAGATCCACCATTTGGACAGGCGACCAAAGCTTTAAATATTCTAGAATAGGTTGGATCCCAAGTGTTCCTCGGATGTCTTTGATCCATTGGCGACCTGTCAGTGCCTCAGCCACCGTCCGACGCCGGCGCACGCGTGGTGGAAATTTGGCACAACTTCTTATCAATGTTAACCCAGCTGCTTAGACTCAAGCGGACAATCATATTTGCCTTGAGCTTCCTAGTGATTAGGGATCAAGTGAGAAATGGTTTGATCTCATTTATGCTATCTGATTAAAGCAATATGTCTGATTAATGTGTAATGTACAATCAGTACTATCAAATTACTGTGAAAATTTGAGATTCAGAACATAAATCATCTGAATTCAGAAATACTTTGCATTATACACGCTGACAAAGCAGAGGCTTCAACTCTGGACCGGCTCATTCTGTGACTGTTCCAAACCCAAAAGTAACTATTAAAAGGTCCAGCCATATTTTCCTGAGAGATTCTCAAATCTCAATCAAGAACTCAACCAACACATATTTACTAAACTAGCGATCATTCATAACATGGAAGCGCATATTTACTGAAGCATAAATCTTTTTCCTGAAATACTACAGTTGTTCATGTAGCCAACCAGCAAGCAACACAACACAAACACACACGCCACAAAACCTTCATCTGAGCAAAAACCAAAAACCCTCATCATTTCCCAACCAGCGAGTACTTGTGCCGCCGGTTGTTCCGGAGCGCGCAGCAGCCGAGGGAGTAGACGACGAGGAGGAGGGCGACGAAGGCGGCGTTGACGAAGGCGATCTTCTTCCAGCTGCTCCTCAGGTTGCCAAGAACACCGGCCTTGCAGGACTGGCAGCCGTAGCAGAGCTCAGACTGGTCATTCGACCAAGAGTTGCAGTCAGGGTCTGAGTAGTTGCTGGGTGTAGGAGGCTTGATCCAGTATGTCTCGTTCTGGTATGTGAAGTTGCATGCTGTTGGTGGCTTGCAGCATCCAGACTGCAGACACAAGATGAACAGATTTATACTTTTGAAGTGATCTTAAAACTCTTTTGATATCTTCAAGAAGATTGCTTCTTTAAAAATTTTACAACAGCTGATGTGATGTCTTTCAAGATCAAAGTAGGTAATTACTTCATTAGACTGAATAAAAGTGACAAAGTGTGTGTATTCTTAAATCAGTTGCAAATTGCATTCTGCGCCGTCGTTATCTGAAGAAACATGCAAGGATAGAAGGTCTTGCAACTTGCAAAGTGAACTTGTAAGACCAAATCAATGGGTGTGCATGAGCAGTCGATTCATTCTTACCTTCACTATCCCAGTTAACTTCAACTTGAATAGTTTTAGATGAGTTGCTGATGTTGATCAACTGCTATGACGTCGATCGGTAGCGTGCCCTGGACTATTAATTCTTGCCCTTTAATGAATACGCAAGAGATCGTTGCGTTTCTTTGTTTTAATTAATTAATTAATTCTAGTTGTGTGCACATGACTTTGATGAAGTCCTGATAGTTACTAAACGTCAGATTACATGACGCAATAGAAAAATGTGTATACTTAGAATTCATTGTTGTAATTATCGTGCATAGAAGTATTGATATGATCTTTACTTTTCATTTTGTCGTACATATGTGAAGATCTATTAAGAAGCAAATCTAAAGGTGCGTAACTGCATATAATTTGCTAAGTTCAAGTATTATCAGACTCTCTGAACTTGTGATGAAGGGACAGCAAAACCTATGTCCTATCGACTTTAAAGAAACGCAGGACTAAATTTACTCTTAGGAAATGGAGCAAATGCCATGAGCAAAATTCAAACCTAATTAGGTAGTGTGAGGTCAGAAACTGAAAAGGTACTGACGAGATAGAGTACAAAACTCTGAACTTCTTTGCATCAGGGATAAAAGAAGTACAACACTAGTTTAGATGTGTGAGATCATCAGGACCGTGCAAAAATACATTGCAGCGGTGGTATCAGCTCTGATATTTGTGATGATCCACCTAGTTGTTTTCTACCTGATATAATCGTGTAAAAGACACATATATTAAAATCAATGAATTGAGTATTATCCAATGAATGAATCTCTTGAAGGGGTCAACAAAGCAAAGTTGTCATAAATATCTGAGAGCAATGCAAGTGAAGAGGTCATATTATTGACTTTTTGCAAAGAAGTACTCCAGTTTACCAAATGGAAGCTACATAGAGGATGACAGGATTAGATATCATAAGGCAAAGAAGTGTGCATTAGCTTTGCCTCAAAAACTAATTTAGTTTAATTTGTTATCTAAATTCATTTTTTTTATAATTTGTCTTCTGTAACAACTAACAACATCTATGTCATTATCTAAAAAAAAACTATTATGCATGCAGCTCAGAATTAATTAATTACAGAAATATTTGTGCAAATATATACAGAATTAATTGTGTGCACAAATTAGCATCAAGTACTTTCAGCTACCAATAATAATCAAATTAGTTATCTAAGTAAAGTTTGATAATATATTGCCAATGAAATTTAGTAAATTTGGGGAAATATGTAACAGCTCGAATGGTATTGGTACCTGCAGCGGCGAGAGGTTGGAGTTGACGAATTCGTCGAGCGTCTGGTTGCTCTTCAAGCTCCGGCACACGCCGGTGTCGACGAGGCAGCTCCTGATCCTCGCCCAGTGGCCGCCGTCCTCCACGCTCCGGCGGAGCCACGTCGAGTAGTCGCCGAGGTGGTACTCCCTGAACCCTCTCCCGGACACGGCCCGCCCGGCGCCGGCGTTGGTGACGACGAGCGCGAACACGCCGAAGCAGGCGGCGGCGAGGATGAGGAGGCCCGTCAGGAGGAGGTAGGCCCACAGCAGCGGCGTCGCGCGGCAGCACGCGCCGGCGAGCCCCGCCAGGGACACGGCCACGATGGCGCCGCCGAGGGCGAGCGCCGGCGCGCGGAGGAACCGCTCGCACTCGGTGACGCCGCCGCCGCCGCGGTGCGGGGCGCCGTAGTAGATCCCCGCGGCGAGGACGGCGGCGCCCAGGAGGAGCGTGACGACGTTGATGGCCGCGAAGACGGCGTTGCTGCACCGCGGCGCCATTGGTGGGTGCGTGCAGAACAGAAGGTGGAGTGGGGTAGTTATAGCGGGAAATGGTTGAACTGGGCAGCAAAGCAACCCACCACGTTGCGGTTTCACACGTGTGGCGTGTGGGCGTGGACATGGTCACATGGGCATGGGCTGGGGAGATTATCCTTTTGGGCTGTCAATATTTCGTAGCTGAGCCCAAACCAATTCTCTCGGCCCAACTATAGATCATCCTTCACGTCCTTAAAAACAGAGTCCTCCTTCCAACCTCTCTCCCCCACAACGTCCACTACTTCACAGGTACTACCTCCATTTCATATTATAAGTCATTTGACTTATTTTTTCTAAGTTGTCCATCTATGAAAATATATTTTTTATCCGTATATGACGTTTTCGTAGGACATGGTCACATTGTTGCTCGCCTACGAACGGATGACTTAAGTGATACGCCTGAAAAATAAGCATCTGAGCTAGTACTCCCATATAAATCTAGCACTCTCCTCCACCACCACCCATTCCTTATCCTCTTCCCACCCTCTCTCCCTCTCCGTCTTTCACAGGCGCGAGGCAGAGTTGCGGCAACAGTTCGGTGACGGGGATGAGGAGCGACAACGGCGGCGGCGCTAGCCACAACCGGCGATGGCAGAGGAGGCTCCCTCCCCTCCCCTTCCTCTCCCTCTCAGATCCGGTGGAGGGGGAGGGGCGTCGGCGGCGGCGCGGCTAGAGGGGCTTGGGCACCGGTAGCGGCCGAGTCGGCGCCTCCCCTCCCACTCCCGTGCTCCCTCCCTCCAGATCCGGCGGGGGAGAGAGCTCGGGCGACGGTAGTGGTGGAGGCTGCGCATCCTCCCCTCCCCCTCCCCCTCTCCAGATTCGACGGAAGGAGCTTGGGCGCCAGCAGCGCCCCCTCTCCTCCCCCTCAGTCCCTCCAGATCTGGCTGAGGAGGGAGCTTGGGCGCCGGCAGCGACGGAGGCGGTGCCCCCTCCTCTCCCCCTCCATCCCTCCCTCCAGATCCAGTGGAGGAGGGAGCTCGGGCGCCAGCAGCGGCGGAGGCGGCTTCGATGAGCGGCGGCTCCGAGGAGGTGGAGCGGTGTTGGCTGCGGCTCCGACAAGAAGGAGCGGGTGGTGGCGATGGCTTCGAGGACGAGCCGCCAGACGGGGGATTCTTTTTTTTTTCATGGAGTATATTTTCACAGGCGGGTGGTTGCACCGCCTGCAAAGATGTAGAGGCTACCTAGAAAATGATTTCACAGGCAGAGCCGATGGCCGCCTGTAAAAATCATGCATTTTCGCAGGCCTTCATGTGCAGGCGGGCTGGATGGCCGACTGGAAAAAATCTATTTTGTCCGTTTGCAAAGATCTATTTTCTAGCAGTGTTTGTATGATCATTGTCTCTAAATTTCTTGCATGGTTGATGTATAAGCTCATTGTCCTCGTCACACCGTTATAGTTGGACTTAAAAATCGAAGCTAGTAGGTTGCCTCGAACAATACCAGCATATATAAATTATTAGAGCATTATAAAAACCACACCATTCCTAGTATGACATAGAGCCTAGTATAAAGTAGATCCTCCAACTAATATATATTTTTTTAAATGAATCCCATCAAGACAATTCCCAGACAAATCTGAAATATTCATCGGTGGATTTAGCTCAAGGAAATATAAACAGATCTCCAAAAGAAATGTAGCAAAGCGAGTCTAAAAAATATAAATGTTAGATACTTTCATCATGCGTTCAAAGATAACCCTTTTTACTTCCATTTCAATTTACTTCACACTAAATTATCTTGATTAAAACTACCCCTTTAAACAAGGACCATAGAAATATCATTATTTTGAGGGGCATCTTTGATTTCCATAAAGCCTTCTTCCTCTCTATATAACATTTTTTTCTAAATACATAGAATGGGTTATAAACTGACCTTTCCGATGAAGATTCCGAGGCGTTTCTTACTAGAATGCAATATGAGAGATTAATAGCCATTGCAACTATGATGTCTGGTATAGCAGCATCGATATTGCTCGGAGGATGTATTACACGCATGAGATTCAAAATTCCTATTAAGATTGCTCACAACAGCATGTGCAACTTCACGAAGCAAAGTGGCACCGCGGAATTGCTTCACATGGCATCCTTAATTATTTGGGATAGCTGTAAGGACAAAGCGTCAAGCTCTTGAGAAACTTGATAGGTTTCTTCAAGACATTATGGTTTTTCATTGCCATTTGGAGGAAATGTTATTGTCTGGCGGTGATTTCAGACAGGTTTTTCCCGTGGTGACACGTGGGACAAGGGCCCAGATAACTGTTGTTACATTGCGGATATCGTATTTATGGGAAAATATTAGAAAGATATGGTTGTCGCGTAACATGAGGGCTCAATCTGATCCATGGTTTTCGGATTATCTCCTTAGGATTGGAAATGGCCCTGAAAACACTATCAGAGATGATTACGTGCGCGCGCTTGATGAAATTGTGATTGCTTATGGGGATTGCGATGATTTAATAAATAAATTAATCATGTGTTTCCCTCGCTTTATGATGAAAATAATGCAAACTTTGCAGCTTATATGATTCTATCCACTAAAAATATAATCGACAGATTTCCGAGGCAAGCTAATGTTTATCACAACTTTAACTCTGTTGATGATGACCTCCACAACAGCTATACTCCAAATGGTCTCCCACCACACGAGCTCAAAGTAAAATCAATTGTCCTGTGATTCTTCTTTGCAATCTTGATCCTAATTATGGGTTGTGCAATGGAACTAGACTAATGGTAAGAGCATTTCAAGATAATTCAATTGATGCTGAGTTTGTTGGTGGACAACATGCTAGCAAAAGGGTGTTCATCCCACGAATCCCTTTATCTCTCTCAGACGATATATCTCTTCCTTTCAAATTTAAGAGGAAACAATTTCCAACACGTCTTAGTTTGGTAATGACCATTAATAAATCACAAGTACAAACCATCCCAAATGTTGGGATCTATCTTCCAGGGTCCATTTTTTCACATGGTTAGCTGTTGCATTGTCAAGAGGTGTGTCAAGGAAAACAACAACGATTTTTGCCAAGCCAAAGAAAGAAGTATACCCACAGGGAAGAGCAATAGGAATATCATGTATAAAGACGTTCTTGACTGGTGAGCAAATGTAGGTTCGTAAGATCAAAATTAATTTGAAAACATAATCTAGAAGATAGGAAAATACTCATCGGAATGTTACTCACCAATGTTCTCTTGTTTTGTACAACATCATTAAGATGAAATATTGTGTGATTAAACCCGCCATACCATCAGGGGGACTCGCAGTGCCTACCTGCCACCACCGCAACTCGACTCTCCACAGTGCGGTGCCAACAGCGATGGTGATGCCGTAATCGCTGTCCCTGTGCCGCCACTACCGCCAGTGCTTCTCCGACTCTCCGCCGCACCATACTGCTTCCATACCATGCTCGCATTCAATTGTTTGTGCTTGGTTGGAATTTATTCCTAATTTGATTTTGATTTTTAGTCCGCACTTTTTTCAATGTTTCCTTCCCTCTGTGAATTGATTATGAGAACAATAATTTACTTAATTCGCAGATATGATGCTTGGTAGTTTTAATAAATTTTAGGGTTTGATTTTTTTATTACTTCCGACCATTCGCCTGCTTGGAAGCACAGTAATTGGGCCAAAACGGGTGGAAATTACTGTCCCAAAACTTTTTTAGGGTGGAAATCAAAAGAGGTTATTGTGCCTACACTATGTCATATTATTCTATTTTGCGTGAAGTATATTTGATGTACGACATTAATTGAATTAAAACTCAACTGCATAGATTATAGAAAAATAACTTTTGCTAGCATAAAATTTTAAATGTCATTAAAGACAAATAAAATTACACCGTAGTGTTTAGCGCATATTACTTAGTTACCAATAATCGTCCATCTCCGTCTAACCAACACTACTGGAGAACTGATCTTCGCTGGGTTGGTCAAAAACCACATTAGTCCTGGTTCCTATTCTAACTGGGACTAAACATATTTTTTTTGTCCCAGTTTAAAACTACCACGGGACTTAGATGATCTTTAGTCCTAGTTGGTAACTAAAGATCCATATTTAGTCCCGGTTGGTTATAACAACCGGGACCAAGAATAAAAAAATCGTGGCTACCCCGAGCCGTGCGCCGCCTCCTATCTCAGCCTCGATCTTATTCTCTCCCTGCTGCGCGCCTCCTCCTCTCCAAGTCTCGATCTTATCTCATCCCCTCTCCTATGCTCCCCATTCCTCCGATCCCCTTCCTCTCCCATTTTCTCTCCTCCCCCTCCCATCTCCTCCCCTTCCCGCCTTCCCCTCACTTGCGGGTGGCGGCTCCCTCCCCCTCCCCTCCAACGCAGGCGGGCAGCGCACGAGGCCGCAGCCGCACCTGTGCAGCCGCTGCGGGCCGGCGGAAGCGGCCGCGGTGGCAGCCGGGCGGCGGCTGCGCGGTGGCCTGGTGGAAGTCGGGAGGCCGGTAGGCCGCGCATAGCCAGCGGATCTGTGGATTTTTTTTTTATTTTGTGAATGATGATTTGTAGATGTTGTTGTAAATTTTTTTAGATTTGTGGATTATGGATGAGCCTGTATTGTGGGTGATTTTGTTGTGCATGATCTATGGGGATTTAGGGTGATGGCAAAAAAAAATAAGAAAAAGAAAAAAAGCTAGCAATGGAAAAAATGGGAAAAAAAACTTTAGTCCCAGTTTGTAACTCCAACGTGACTAAATATTGTAGTCCCGGTTGATGTTATAAACGGTCCCGGTTATTTTAAATGGGATCATTGGATGTCCCGCCTTACGACCCAGGATTAAAAGGGTTGTAAACCGGGAGTAAAGAGCCTTTTTCCAGCAGTGCAACCATATAATTGTGCGATGACAAAAGCCCAACCCACAATAATCCAGCATTCCAGCCCATTAGCTGTGCTCTTTACTGCTATTGGCTAGACGTTTGCTCTTCCAAAATTTTCACGGCGCAGCACAATGAAAGTAGGCAAAATTTTGTTACGGGAACTCAAATTTTA